CTGTGGGTGTCTGTTTCTGCTTTGAACAGCAACTGGATGAAGGCCCTCCTTCTTCTCCCTGCCCCCGGCCCCCACTTTGGTCAGGGGTTCTCACATCCCCATCCCCTTCTTTGAGGGACTATGTAATCTTCTTTTGGGGTTCTCCTTGTTTCCTAGCTCCTCTGGCAGTGTAGATTGTAGACTAGTGATCCTTTGCTCTATGTCTAAAAGTCAAAAATGAGTGAGTACATACCATGTTTATCTTTTTGTGATTCGGTTACCTCACTGAGGATGGTTTCTTCTAGTTCCATCTACTTGCCTGCGAATTTCAAGATTCCATTGTTTTTTTCCCAATGAGTAGTACTCCATTGTGTAAATGTACCATATTTTCTCTATCCATTCTTCAGTTGAGGGGCATCTAGGTTGTTTCCAAGTTCTGGCTATTACAAATAATGCTGCTATGAGCATAGTTGAACATATGTCTTATATGTCCAAGAGAGGAATTGCTGGATCTTGAGGTAGACTGATTCCCATTTTCTTGAGAAAACGCCATACTGATTTCCAAAGTGGTTGTACAAGTTTGCACTCCCACCAGCAATGGAGGAGTGTTCCTCTTTCTCCACATCCTCTCCAGCATATATTGTAGTTGGTGTTATTGATTTTAGCCATTCTGACAGGAGTAAGATGGTATCTCAGAGTGGTTTTGAGTTTCATTTCCCTGATGGCTAAGGATGTTGAGCACTTTCTCAAGTGTCTTTCAGCCATTTTGGATTCCTCTGTTGAGAATTCTCTATTCTCTATTCTGTACTACAACTTTTAATTGCATTGTTTGGTGTTTTGGTGGCTAACATCTTGAGTTCATTGTATATTTTGGTGATGAGCCCTCTGTCAGATGTGGGGTTGGTGAATCTCTTTTCCCATTCTATGGGCTGGTGTTTTGTCTTGCTGACCATGTCCTTTGCCTTACAGAAGCTTCTCAGTTTCAGGAGGTCCCATTTATTAATTGTCGATCTCAATGTTTGTGCTACTAGTACTATGTTCAGAAAGCAGTCTCCTGTTCCAATTTGTTCAAAGGTACCACCTACTTTCTCTCTAGGAGGTTCATTGTAGCTGAGTTTCTGTTGAGGTCTTTGATCCATTTGGACTTAGATAGATATGGATCTAACTGCAATCTTCTACATGTCCAAATCCAGTTATGCCAACACCATTTGTTGAAGATGCTTTCTTTTTTCCATTGTATTACTTTAGCTTCTTTGTAAAAAATCAGGGTCTTCTCTTTCTTTATTCCCCTTTGTTTTCTTGTCATTGTATCCTGCTCAGTGTGATGGAGGCTCTTATCTCTCTCATTAAAAACCTGCAGATTTAGAGGAAGGGAGGAAGACCCCCTCCCCCAGATTGTGTTGTGCCCCTAGGCACACATCACAAGGGAGATGTATAAGAAATCTTGTGATATATTGTTTATGATCTAATAAAGCTTGCCTAGAGATGAGAATGAAAAGCTAGCTACAGCCATAGAAGCAGGGCAGTGGCGGCACACACCTTTAACCCCAGGACTTGAAAGACAGAGAGGCAGATGAATCTCTGAGTTCAAGTCCACCCTAGGCTATATGAGAGTGAATCCGTCGAAAAGAGAAACAGAGCTCACACCTTTAATCCCAGCACTAGAGAGAATATAAGGAGTTCAGTGTAGTCTCAGGCAGCAGTCTGAGATTTGGTGAGGAGCAGTGAAGTCTGGAGATGCAATCTGAGGTTTTGTCTGAGCATTGGTAGAGGTAAGAACTCTCAAGTGGCTTGGTGCCTTTGCTTTTCTCATCTTCAGCTTGAACCACAGTGTCTGTCTCTGCGTTTTTATTATTCTTGTTACAAAATCCTTTTTTAAGCTCCTCAGAGTTACTACTTCCTGTCAACAAGTTAAAGAAATTGAAAGCTTTAAAAAATATTAGAAAAATATTATTTTCTATACTTAAGGATTGAGTTTGCACTATATGCAATGACACACTGATGTCTTAGCAGGAGATAAAAAAGAGGAGGATTTCAACCTTGTGTTCTTGGAAATGACCTAGAACAACTTTTCTCTACTGTGTGTCATAATCTAAGAATTGGAAGTGTCAGATATATAGACTTTTGAGACCTGTTAGCAATTAGTAGTACCCTTCCTTTGTTCTCCTAAGAAACATTCCTGGCTCAAAGATCTAGGAAGCTCTACAGGGAATTAGACACATTTGTAGAGTATAAGAGTAAAAGAAAACTAGTGTGTTTTGGAAGACATATCTTTTGTTTTGGGGGAATTTATAACATTTAAGAAATCATTTTATTCATCTGTATCTCCAGGCCTAGCTATGTACCTGGTATGCAATTCTTAACAAGACTAAATGTTTATATATTAATTTGTGCCCAATAAATGAATCAAGAGTAAGCCTAAAAGAGGACATAGCTTGGTGTAGAATACTACCTAGCATGTGTGTGGCTCAGGGCTTCAACTCCAGAAGTCTGTATTATTTAGGCTCTTTGGAGAAACAGAACAAAGTAATATGTGCATTTACATATTTATTTTAAGGAATTGGTATGTAATTAAAATTTATAGGCCAGGACTCAGGCAGAAAACTTTAAGACAGGAATTCAATTTTTATTTGTTGTTTGTTTTTATGTTCTGCCAGGGGTTGAACCCAAGACCTTGGTGAAAACTCAGTAGTAGGCAAGTACCTACAGCTGGGAGCTGCCTCCAGCTCTGCCTTTCCACCTCAGACCTGATTCTTCCCCAGGGAAACCTTAAACTTTGTTTAAGCTGATTGGTTGAGGCCTTTGTAGATTATAAGATAGTCTCTAACTGATGCTAACCCACTGGTATAGTCTAGCCAAGTCAACACATGAACTGTGCCATCACTGTATATTTTGGTTAAGAAAAGACCTGAAGCAGATTTGCAGCTTGGTTGACACACCTGTTGCAGTTCCTGCTTCCAGGGCTTCCAGGACTGGTTTGTTACTAAAGCAAGATTTTCCACTCCATGCATTTATTCACGTTATAGTTTAATGTGAGCAAAGAGCTTTTTAGGTTACTAGGAGAAAGTGCAGGCAAGACTCACAACATTATTTTGAATAAAACCAAAGTAGTATTTAAAAGATTATTCCGAGAAATCACTATGTTGAGGAGCTTTGAGTTTGGGCAAATTTCATTCATTATATTGAGGAGTGGAATACAACTCACTTGGACTGAGCCTAAGAGCTGTTTCCTGTATTTGACTTTTGATTTTGCTACATTGTTTTTCCTTCCCTCGTTTACTCATTAATATTATTGTAGAATTTAAATCTTGCCCTTGATTTAAGAGAAATTAAGTGGCTTAAAAGCAGAGCAAATAGAACTATGCCCTAGCTTTGCCTCTCCTTGAGACATTCCTGTGCATGCACACACAGAAGTGTGTGTGTGTGTGTGTGTGTGTGTGTGTGTGTGTGGTGTGCGCATGCTCAAGCTTGGGCTGTGGCAGTGAAACAGCATTCTGATGGCTGAGTATGTTAATGTGGATTAACCAGTTTAGACTTGAAATTCATGCAGCTTGAAAATTTCTGGTAAGGTAATTGTAAAAGTTGTCTCCCAAATGTTGTTTTAAGGTCTGACGTTTTGTGTGTCTATAAACATTCCTCTCTTTTTGTTTTTGGGATGGTAAGAATGGAACCTAGGGCCTCACACAGGCTACCATGCTTCCTACCTCTGAGCACAGGACCTTCCTTCCTTCCTTCCTTCCTTCCTTCCTTCCTTCCTTCCTTTTCCTTGGGAGCACTCCTATAATATCTCTCCCCCAAATCCTGCTGATGTGTCAGTAGCCTTTGTTATTCCCTCTCCATATTTTTCCTTTTACTTGGTGTTGTTTAAATTCAGAAAACTTTCTTTGTGGAAACTGAACCAAATAATAAGACAATATAAAACACTGAGTTCAGCAAAAGTGATTTGCTTGTGATTAACCCTTGAGAATTGAGTCCCTGCCAGTAACAAAGAGTGTTTGAGCTTGATCCTGCTCATTCTTCTCTCCCACCCCTCCCCAACCAAGTGGTAATGAATTCCTGTACAATTTATCTTATTCATCATGTTTTTTTAAAGGAAGCCCAAAGAGAGCTCATCAGATTTCCTACTTGAAAGCTTTTAATCTGGCCCCTCAGCAAAAGGCAGTTTCATTTTTGTAGTTGTTCATGACAGCAACTTTGACATTCTAGATTTTTCTCTCGTAGACCACATACAATACCAGATAATCTTTTTATCTTCAAAATACAGAAATCTAGATATTTACCATTTTCATTACTAATCACCTATTATTTTTTTCTTGGATTATTTTAATATGCTTCTAATTCATTTGTATGCCTCTGTTTTTGACCCTGTATAGTTTTTGTTTTGTTTTTTCAACATGACAAATAGAGATCCTTAGAATTCTATGATAATGTCAGAACTCTGTTGGAAACAGTGGCATCTATCACTCACAAGAAAGCTGAAGTTCCGATGTTCTCTACAAGGCCTCCATGGGGTGCCCAATCTGTACGGTATATGCAGGTTAGCCCAACAAAAAATTATAAACTTGCTTACATTACAAGGTTTTGAGGGTTTTTGTTGTTGTTGTTGTTTTTGTCTTTGTTGTTTGTTGTTGTTTTGTAGCTTGATTGCATGGTACTTGAATGTGAACTTTACTATCATGTCACAATGTCCAAAGGTTGGAATATGTGCATGACACTTGACCTCTCTAACTTAATTCTTTATTCCTTTTCTCTGTCTATTCTGTTCATGCTGGCCTGTTTGTTTCTTACACCAGCCCCTGCCTACAGAACAAGTTCCAGGGCAGCCAGGACTGCACATAAAGAAACTATATATATATATATATATATATATATATATATATATATAGAGATAGACAGTGTAGATTTTTAAGTTGTATTCTTCATAATAGCACTTAAAATGTATTTAATGTAATTAGTATTGTTATTAAGGTGATTTAGTTTCATAGACTCATGTGCACAACTATAAATGATATGTTTTCCCTCTGCAGGGAAGAAGGCTGATAGCTGTAGGACTAGGTGTTGCAGCTGTTGCATTTGCAGGTACGTTGTTTTGGTTTTCAGACATAATACATTCCCACCGATTATAGTTGCATAGCAGTAATCAGTCAAGCAAAATGTAGTAAGCATTATAGTAAAACAAAAAAAATTATTCGTCAGTGAGCAAAAACAGGTAGCTGCATAATGGTTGATATTCCTGACATGTTCTTTTCCAGTTTTATTTATAGTGTACAACAATAAGAAATTTGTAGTAGGGGCTGATGAAATGGCTCAGTGGCTAAAGTACTTGATAAACAAGTCTGAAAATCCAAGTTCAGATGCCCCAAACACATGCAAAGGTGTGACACAGTAGCCCATGTAATCCCAGTGCAAGAGGCAAGAGGATCCCTAGAAACTTGTAGGCCAGATAGCTTGGCATAGACAACGGTTAACAACGAAAAGATTCTTCTTAAATTAGGTCAAAATTGAAGCCCAATGTCCTAGGTTATCTTCTGACCATGTCATGCTCACTGTGATACAAAAATAAATAGTAAAGAAAGCCTGCTGGAAAGATGGCTCAGCACTTAAGAGCAATTGCTGTTCTTCCAGAAAGCACCCATATCAGTCAGTTTACAGCTGCCTTTAATGCTCCATCCAGATGAGCCAACTCCTTTTGGCTTTTATGGACACTTGCCCACTAATACACATGCATACTCCTAAATAAATAATAAAGTAAATCTTAAAAAGACAAGAGCAAGCTTTGTGTTTTATTTATTGCTATTAGCTGATCATATGTTTGTGTACATGTATGATGTGTGAGCTGGGCAGGATTGTATAGATGGCAGGTGATAGACAACTTTAGGGAATCAGTTCTCTCTCTACCACAGAAGTTCCCAGGATGTCAACTCAGGTTGTCAGATTTGAACAAGTACTTTTGCCCCCTAGCCATCTCTGTTCCTAAAGTCTTTAATACAATACAATTCAAGTGATGGAGATCCCTTTATGCTGTCATATTTATGTGGATTACACATTTCAGCTATCATTTCCTTCTGATGAACATAGCTATTCCTTGACTACTTAGTTATCTTCTAACATATATAGTTTGTTTGTTTATTTATAAACTTGGGGAAGTTTACAATTTTAAATTACATGGCTATTCCCTAAGTAAATGTTAATCTGATAATATTTCCTTGTGTTAGTTTTGTTTATTGTTGCCTTGATAAACAACTTGGGGAAGAGAGGGCTTGTTTTAGTTCAGAATCCCAGTTACAGTTATTAGCAGTGAAATCAAGATGCCAGGATTTTAAATCAGGTGGTCACATCCATAGTCAAAACAGAAAGAGAATTAATGAATGCATGCTTATCCTCAACAGAATTCGGGATTCTCTGCCTAGGGAATGGTGCCTCCCATAACGGGCAGTCTTCTCACATCAGTTAACATAACGAAGACATTTGTCCAATAGACATAACTATAGGCTAACCTGATCTAAGATGGTCCTTTATTAAAACTCTGTCTTAGACTGTGTCAAGTCGACAGTTAAAATTAATCATTACACCATGTTATTTAAATTTTTGTTTCTGAATCTATGTGTTTGATTATATTAATTGCATTTTTCTTTTGATAAAGCTACATTCTGTTGTGGTGTCATAGATTTAAGTTCTAATAGAAAATGATAGTTTTATTTGGTTTGATACAGTATTTAATTTTACACAGTTCTCATTTAAAACAATCAGAAATTAAAAATCAAAAGACCTATGATTTATACCCTTTAGATCTTTTTGTCAGCAGGGCTTTGCACCAATTTCATAACTATAGTTAACTACTTCTGAGCTTTCATGAGAAAAAGATGTTTTTAAAGAAATTCTGACAGTTGCCATAAACATAAACCAATTTTAGTACTATTATAGGATAGGCATAATTATAAATTCAACTGTGAGCTTTTCATTTTAACCTAGAAAAAGATGTATTTTATCTGCTTTTCTTTCAGACAATGACAAAAATATCCACATATATTTTATATAGAAAAATTTATGTTACAAATTAGATTAGCAGAACTTGCCCAGAGACAAATAAAATTGAGTAAAAGAATTTAGGAGAAGCTAAATATAGAAGCTAAAATAAAGAAGCTTACTATACCTCCATTTGTGACAGCTAGATGTTGTTTATATTTAAATGAATCCTCAGATATCAGTTTCCAAAGCCTTTATGTGTTTTTGTTTGTTTATTTGTTTCACTAAGATAGGAATTTGGTTGCTAAGCCTGGTTGTGGTTTTAAAGAATTTTGAGGTGATTTCAAAGTGATGTTTTATGTATGGAATCAAGTGGTACATTATCCTGAAAGATATAGATGTTAAGCTTTCCCACTGGGATTAAGTTTTCTAGCAAAACCTAGTGAAAAGGGCGTGAGTAGAAAGTGGGCCTGCTGGATGTCACTCTTGGGGGAAGCCCGCAGAATGACTTTAGGATCTGGTTTGCTTGAGATTCTTGTCAACACAAAAGAATATTAGATTTTAGTACTTCTTCCAAAAACTCAGGTATATTTTTAAAACATATTCTTAAACTCATATTCTTAAAGTTATGCATCTTTAGTAAATTTATAGGAAATCTCTGGCAAAGACATTTTCTAATCAATTTTTACTTTTTAATGATCAAATTAGAGACATTTACTCCAGTATGATACTTGAGATTTTGGAAATGTAAATCTGAATCATTATTTTAACACTTTCAATTTCAGTAGTAATTATCGTTTGTAAAATATCAACTTGAAGATAATTGCCAAACTCTTTTCAGGTACCTTGGAGATAGGAGTGATATTAAGTTTTATGGATGAGAAATCACTAGAATCTGGATATTTCTAAATGAGATTACTTTAAACAACCAAAAATAAATAAATAAATAAGATTTTAGTGAAAGTAAAGACCCAAATCAGGTAAACAGTTAAATCTAAGAAATGTCTTAACATGTATGTGGTTGTTTCTTACTCTGCAGGTTACTCTATTATATGTACTCCTTATGTGTCTTAAGAAGTGTTTGTTTTCCACTGGGCGTTGGTGGCGCATGCCTTTAATCCCAGCACTCGGGAGGCAGAGGCAGGCGGATCTCTGTGAGTTCGGGGCCAGCCTGGTCTCCAGAGCGAGTGCCAGGATAGGCTCCAAAGCTACACAGAGAAACCCTGTCTCGAAAAACCAAAAAAAGAGAAGTGTTTGTTTTCTGTATATTTCAGTGTGATTACCATCATAAATGGCAATATAATTAATCATTTAGTATCATAAGTGACTATTATCTCTTATTCTAGAGAGTTTATTGTGGAAAGAGTATTAAGGTGATATTGTATTCTGTAACTTTGCATAAGTGTAAAATATACATACAAACACTGAAAATTTCTAATTTTATTATCATGAACTAGAACTTGGTACATGTATTGGCTATGATAATATTAAAGTCAAAGTCTGTCTACTTAGTAAGTTAGAAGTTTGAAAAATAGTAGGTCTTTTTGATAAAATTTGAAATAGCATTTATGTCAACAAATGATATATGATAAGCACCTTAAGAGTAATGATTGACATTGATTATGAGAAGTATTTGTTCTGTTTACTGTTTAGGTCGCTATGCATTTCAAATGTGGAAACCTCTAGAACAAGTAATCACAGAAACAGCAAGGAAGATTTCATCACCGGTGAGTTTATGAGGCTGTAATTAGAGCACTTTTCCATGTTTGTTTGTCATACTTGAAAGCAACTCAGAGCATGTTAGGCTTCCAACTAGAAGTTGCAAAGAAGTATGAAGTTCACATCACATTATTTATGAGTCTGTCTAGTCTATGCATTTAGTTTAAGTTTCATAATCCTATGATTTTTATGTATGGACTTTGATTTCTGGTTTTGATGACTGTTACACTCTAGCTAGTTTTGGATTGACTGCTAGGTGACTTATCGTCTGTTCTGTTGTTTTGAAGGAGGGTTTCTTGTATTATGTGCTGGCATGAGTTCATAGCTCCTCTTGCTCCCATCTCCCAAGTGTCTGACTACAGACATGCACCACCTCACTTAGCCTCTTTGGATTTTTGGTTTTTGAGATAGCATCTCACTATTTAGCCAATGTTGACTTTGAGCTCTCTTGATCCTCCATCAAGTATTGAGATTACAGGCATGTGCCACCATACCTGTCTTAGTTTTCCTTTCTAACTAATATTATTTATTCAATAAACATTTAGTGAGTGCCCACCATCTCCCTGTGCCAGGAGATGAGAATAGCAATTGGGTAACACAGACAAAGCCTCTGTGCCCTAGTAGATCTTATGCAGAGTGTATTTCAGCTTGAAATTTGAAACTAGTCCCCTGTATCACTGCACTTAACCATTTCAAACACAACATTGCAAAACTCCACCATGAAATTCTATATAGGTCTATATGTTGTGAAATATTTTTGTAGATGTGTTGCTTTCATTTATGCTGTGGAATATTTATTTAATGATGCAAAGATGTGTTGCATTATTTTATGTTGCATTTGTTTAACTCTGTGAAGCTGTGTTATTTTTCCTGCCTAAAACACCTGATTGGTCCAGCTGCACGTCAGTCCAATAACCAGTCAGAAGAGGGATAGGCAGGGCTGCCAGGCAGAAAGAATAAATAGAAGGGTGAGGAGAGAGAAGGAGTGAGAAAAGAAGGGTGGAGATGGAGAGGAGGATGCCAGGGCCAGCCATCCTGCCACCCAGCCAGACAAGGAGTAAAAAGAAACATATATAGAATAGAAAAAGGTAAAAACCCAGAGGCAAAAGGTAGATGGGATAATTTAAGAAAAGCTGGCTAGAAACAAGCCAAGCTAAAGTCGGGCATTCACAAGTAAGAATAAGCCTTGATGTATTTATTTGGGAGTTGGGTGAACAGAATTCTAGATATTCTTACAAACTTAAGAGAAGTGCAGAATGAATGAAAATATATATAAAAAAGCTACAGTGTGTGTGTTGGGAGCTGGAGAGATAGCTCAGCAGTTAAGAGACTGGCTGCTCTTTCAGAGGACTTGAGTTGAATTCCCAAGACCCACATGGCAGCTCACAACTGTATGGCTCCAGTTCCAGGGGATCCAACACCCTCACACAGACACAACAACAATGCACAGAAAAAAAATTAATAAATAAGATCATTTTTAATAATAAAAATTAATAAAATACATCTTTTTTTATATATAAAAGCTACAGCGTGAATTGCAGTTTATGATCACTGAAGAATACACAGTGAAGATTCACCAAATCACTTTAGTGTGAGCATTGGCTTTTGGAAAGTAGAAGCAGATCTGGACTAGATAGCTTGGTTTGTAGAAATCTCAGAGTCAATGACTGTTTTAGCAAAGACAGTACAGGCCTGTGGGGCTTATTTAATAACAGTCCTCCCAAAGGATGACAGCCCATGTTCAAAAGAATGCAAGAAACTTTCCAAAATTGGTGAATGCTTGTCTGTGACTACAGAATATAGGTTTGTTTTCTGTTTCCCATTTATACTTGATTTGACTAACATATTGATAGGTTGATAGATATTCAGCATTTGTTCAGTTAATATTCACTGTGTGACTGCTACATGGCAGATATTATAGGTATGGAATATACTTATAGACCAAACGTACTTCTCCCTAGAAGCTTATGTTTTGCATTTTATTACAGGTATACAATTTAAAACATGAAGGTATATCATTTCTAAAATTTCCAAGTATGATTAAGAAATGCAAACCAGGATAAGAAACAAGAACATTAGGAGAAAGACCTTTATATTATCTAGGCCAAGAAAAGCCTTTTAGGGGATGAGGACATGGACCATGTAAGCATCTGAAGGAAAGGAAGAGTCTTCCAGGCAGTAGGAGCACTGAGGTCCCAAGCTGGGATGAGCATAGCAGCGGGCCTAATTCCAGTGGTGTCTGAAGGGGGCCCAGGTCTCCTAGGGCCTGTAGACAATGACAAGCACCTCTCATTTCTTTCTGGATATGGAAGATTTTGAACAGGGGAAAGGACTATGTGACATGCATCTTTTTAGGTTATCATTCATCCTGCCAACTGTTGAGAGTATAGACCAGAGTGAGCCAGAGCAAGCGCTCTGAAGATAGTTGAGAAGGACTGGTGGTAGCTGATAGGGATGTGAAGTGGAAATTGTGACAGGGTTCATTGCATGCATGTTGTCTTCTAGAGACAAATTTAGAAATGGTTTTGCTTCTGTTGTGGTGATTATCTTTAAATGTATGTACACCTAAAGAGAAAACCTTCAAGCTTAATGGAGCACTGTATTACTTAATGTTGCAAAAAAAGATAAAAAGGCATTGAGACTATTTTCACCATCACACTGCTCAGTAAAGGCCGACAGCAGGGCAGGCTGGCTGGTTATGGGCATGTTGCAAGACTTTTCCTAAGGAGAGGGAAGTGAGTGATTTCCTTGTGGTGCTTTTTTTTTTTTTTTTTTAATGAATCTAGATTTTTCTTTTTTAAACAAAATGTGATTATAGTTTGTAGGGAAACAAGTTTGGAATATCTTAATCATGATCATCTTCAAGAATAAGTCTTTACATATTAACCACTCCAGAGAAACTGAAACATGAAGTGAGTGCATAGCTTCTCTTCACACTAACCAGTCCCAGATGCCACACTTCATAAATGCAGCATTACAGGATTTGATAAGTATTAATTTTTGAACCAAGTTGGGTTACTAAAAGAATAGGAAGTGTAATTGTATCCCACTAACTGTTTCATTCACAGAGCAGTGTCCACCAGGTCCAGTGTGTTTTCCTGCTTATTGTTCTGTATACTCTACTTTATCCAAGTTTTACTGTACTGGAATGCTGGTTGCAGTAAGCATTCAACCGTGTGCATGAATGGTGAATATTTTCAATGTTTTTCTGCTAACAAGATTTGTGTTTCCCTCATAATTATTAATTGCTAGTCATTAATTGTGACTCCTGGCTGCTTGAACTCTAGTGGCCCCAGCTTAACCCAGAAGTAGATGTCCCTACTGAGACTAAACCTCACTGCCTGCCCTCCTCGTCCCTTCGTGTTCACAGCCAGAGCTCCTACTGGCAACCAGATTTTTACACCTGGAGATACCTGGTTTGTAGTTTCCTTTCATTGTTTGATTTGGGGTTTCAGTTAATTTGTTTGTTTTCTCTAATTATTGATATCTTACTATTTCACATGGGTTCTTGATGAACTCTAACTTACTTGAAGATTCTTTTTTATCCTCTCATACTTAACTTTTCTTTGATTATTTCTTCTCTCTATTGATTCTCTATTTCTAGGCTTTGTGTTAGAGCGATGTTGGGTGTCTCTGTGTGTCCTTTAGTATCTAGGTGTTTCATCTCATTTTCTGTTCCTGACTTTCTTCTCCATTCTCTAATTCTTTTAGTTTGTTTTGCAAATCACCAGGCTGATGGTTAGCTGTGGCCATTTTTGTTTGTTTGGTTTTTTTTTTTTTTTTTTTTTTTTTTTTTTTTTTTTTTTTTTTTTGTGTAGCTCTGGCTGTCCTAGAACTCACTCTGTAGACCAGGCTGACTTTGAACTCACAGAGGTCTTCCTGCCTCTGCCTCCCACTGGGATTAAAAGTGTGTGCCACCACTGGCTGGTCTTTAAAACAGTTTATCTGAATTTTATACAAGAGAAATGTTTTAAAATGTATTTTATTTTTCATTATTTATATGTATGTGGACTTGTCCATATATGAGTGCAGGTACCTAAGGAATGCAAAAGAGGGTGTTAGATCCTCTAGGACTGGATTTATGGGCAGGTGTGAGCTGGCTTACATGGGTCATCTGCAAGAGCAGTGTGTGCTCTTATACTATTGGCCATTTCTTCAGCTCCTAAAAGGGAAAACTGTACTTTCTAAGAATTCATTATTATTTCCTCACGGTAATGTAATTGTTTTCTTAGTCAGAGGGGAAAGTCACATGCTCTGGGTCTTAGGCTCTGATTTAGAAGAGTATAGGGAGGGCTCCTCTTTGCTATTTATCTCAATAACTAAAAAAGAAGTTAATATTTTCTTCTTGGTTTCCTTGGGAGAGTTTATTCCTTCCTAGTGTTTTTGTTTTTGTTTTGTTTCTCCTGATATTTGGTTGCTGTAATGGTTTTTCTGTATATGCAGTCTTTCATGTTTTTATATATCAGTACTTATGTAAACTTTTTAACTTAATGACTTATTTCTTATTTTCAAAGTCTTTTATGGCTTTCTCTTATTAAACATATTTACTTTCTCATTTCTAAGGCACTTTGGGAGACAAAAGACCTTTATGATACAGTCTTATTTTGAACCATTGCCCTTTTGTTTGCTATCTAAATAGATAAATGAATACTAATTATTTCAACAAATGCCTAATTACTCCTAACTTAAGGATTGAGAGAGTCCTGAGTCATTTATCTTCTTCAAGGCTTTTAATTTTCTGTTCATAAGTTTGTGCTTTGATTTGAAGTCATCCTTCTGTGGCTCTGTAACTCAGATAGATAGGAAGTTTATTTATCTAGCACTGTGAATGATAGCCATTCTCACCTGGTTTTCTGGAGGATTCTTCCTGTTACTTACTGAAATAACTAATGAGGTTTTGTTTAACTTGAGTTAGTTTACTCTCCTTTGATAACATGACACCATCATTTAATACTAATTTTTGGAAGAAATTAATGTGATTCCTGTTGTTGCTTATGTGTGTTTCTTGGATAGAATAATACAAACTAATAATTTGAACATTCCAGGGTGTTTTCAGTAGACAACATCATCTCTCTATCCTCCATGACATAAGTATTACTTGTAGTAATCATTGTCTTAGTTAGGGTTTCTATTGCTATGAAGAGACACCATGACCACAGCAACTCTTTTTTTTTTAATTGAGCTTTATATTTTTCTCCATTCCCCTTCTCTCCTCCCCTCTCCCCTTCTACCCTCTTCCTTGCCCCCCATGCTCTCAATTTACTCAGGAGATCTTGTCTTTTTCTCCTTCTTAGGCAGATCCATGTATGTCTCTCTTAGGTTCTTTTTGGTTACCTAGGTTCTCTGAGGTTGTAGCATATAAGCTGGTTGTCCTTTGCTTTATGTCTAATATCCACATATGACTGAGTACATATTATATTTGTCTTTTGGGGTATGGGTCACCTCACTCATTTTTTCTAGTTCCATCCATTTGCCTGCAAATTTCCGGATGTCATTGATTTTTTTCCTGCTGAGTAGTACTCCATTGTGTACCACATTTTCCTTATCCTTATCCATCAGTTGAGGGATATCTAGGTTGTTCCCTGGTTCTGGCTATTACAAATAATGCTGCTATGAACATAGCTGAGTATGTGTCCCCATGGTATGGTTGTGCATCCTTTGAGTATATGCCCACGAGTGGTATCACTGGGTCTTGAGGTAGATTGATTCCCAATTTTCTTAGAAACAATGATACTGATTTCCAAAGTGGCTGTACTCCCACCAGCAATGGAGGAGTGTTCGTGTTCCCCTTACTCCACATCCTCTCCAGCATAAGCTGTCATCAGTGTTTTTTGCTTTGTTTTGTTTTGTTTTGTTTTGTTTTTATTTTGGCCATTCTGACAGGTGTAAGATAGAATCTCAGATTTGTTTTGATTTGCATTTTTCTGATGACTAATGATATTGAGCATTTCCTTAAGTGTCTATTGGCCATTTGATATTCTTCGGTTGAGAGTTCTCTGTTTAGATCTGTACCCCGTTTTTTTTTTTTGTTTGTTTTTTTTTTATTGGATTATTTGGCCTTTTGATGTCTAGTTTCTTGTTCTTTGTATATTTTGGAGATCAACCTTCTGTCAGATGTGAGGTTGGCAAAGATCTTTTCCCATTCTGTAGGCTGCCATTTTGTTTTGTTGACCGTGTCCTTTGCTTTACAGAAGCTTCTCAGTTTCAGGAGGTACCATTTATTGATTGTTGCTCTCAGTGTCTGTGCTACTGGTGTTAAATTTAGGAAGTGGTCTCCTGTGCCAATGCATTCAAGGGTACTTCCCACTTTCTCTTGTATGAGGTTCAGTGTGCTTGGTTTTATGGTGAGATCTTGGCCCATTTGGACTTGAGTTTTGTGCATGAAGATAGATATAGATCTATTTGCATTCTTCTACATGTCAATATCCAGTTCTGCTAGCACCATTTGTTAAGGGTGCTTTCTTTTTTCCTTTTATAATTTTAGCTTCTTTGTCAAAAATCAGGTGTTCATAGGTGTGTGGATTGATATCAGGGTCTTCAATTAGATTCCATTGGTTCACCTGTCTGTTTTTATGCCAATACCAAGCTGTCTTCACTACTATATCTCTGTAGTAGAGAATGAAGTCAGGTATGGTGATGCCTCCAGAAGTTCCTTTATTGTGTAGGATTGTTTTGGCTCTTCTTCGTTTTTTTGTTTTGTTTTGTTTTGTTTTGTTTTCTCATACGAAGTTGCGTATTGTCCTTTTGAGGTATGTGAAGAATGTTTCTGGGATTTTGCTGGGGATTGCACTGAACCTGTAGATTGCTTTTGGTAAGATAGCCATTTTTACCATGTTAATTCTACCTATCCAAGAGCATGTAAGATCTTCCCATTTTCTGATGTCTTCTTCAAAGACTTAAAATTCTTTTCATACAGGTCTTTTACTTGTTTGGTTAGAGTTACCCCAAGATATTTTATGTTATGTGTGGCCCCTATAAAGGGTGCTGTTTTTTCTGATTTCTTTCTCAGCCTGTTTATCATCTCACATAAGAGGGCTACTGATTTTTTTTTTTTTTTTAGTTAATCTTGTATCCTGCTACATTACTGGAGGTGTTTGTCAGCTGTAGTAGTTCCCTGGTAGAATTTTGGGGGTCGCTTTTGTATACTATTGTATCATCAGCAAATGGCAAAAGTTTGACTTCTTCTTTTCCAATTTGTATACCCTTGACCTCCTTTTGTTGTCTTATTGCTCTAGCAAGAACTTTGAGTACTATATTGAATAGATATGGAGAAAGTAGACAGCCTTGTCTTGTTCCTGATTTCAATGGGATCACTTTGAGTTTCTCTCTATTTAGTTTAATGTTGGCTGTGGAGTTACTGTATATTGCCTTTATTGTGTTTAGGTATGTTCCTTGTATCCCTGCTCTCTCCAAGACCTTTATCATGAAGGGGCATTGAATTTTGTTGAAGTTTTTTTTTTTTTTTCCAGCATCTAATGAGATGATCATGTGTGTTTTTTTTTTTCTTTCAGTTTGTTTATATGGTGGATTGTATTGACAGATTTCCTATGTTGGACCATCCCTGCATCTCTGGGATGAAGCCTAATTGACATGGTGGATGATTTTTCTGATATGTTCTTGGATTCGGTTTGCCAGTATTTTATTATTTTTGCATCACTTTTCATGAGGGAGATTGGTCTGTAGTTCTCTATCTTAGTTGTGGGTTTGTAGACCCTGGCAGCTCTTAGAAAGGAAAATATTTAATTGTGGTGGCTTGCTTACGTTCAGAGGTTCAGTCGATTATCATATGGCAGGAATGGAAGTGTGCAGGCAGACATGGTGCTGGAGCAGTAGCTGAGAGTCCTACAGATTGCAGACAACAGGAAGTGATCTGTCTCACTGGATGTGGCTTGAGCATATTGAGACCTCAAAGCCTGCCTGCACAGTGACACACTTCCTCCAGGAAGACCTCACCTTCTAATAGAGGCTAAGAGTGCCTCCCTTTTGGGACCGTTTTTTTTTTTTTCAAATTATCACAATCATGTTTCTGGATCTGGACATTTTTTTTTGTTTTTGTTTTGATCCCAGCATTTTCAGAGAATGGACTGCAGCATCTTATCTCTTTATATTCCAAACAATTCATTGTTGATATATTTTATCAAACCTGAGATACCCTTTCAGTTATTATTTAGCATTAGAGGAGAGAGATACCAAATTACAATTTTTGCCTGCTCATAATGTGAATAGTAATTTAAAGATAATAGATAATAAAATTGTCTAATATGAAAATTTAAATTTTGTGGTTTTAGAAGGCAGGATTTTGTCTGAAGAAATTTGCCTATATTTTAGTAGTTGAGCAATACAAGCTTCTGTTTTCTCTCATCTGTTTTTCTCTGTGTTGACCCATGTGTTAAGTTTCTAGCTACAAAATGGTGTTCTTTTAGAAAGGTGTGATGACTTTTTATGCAAAGGTTTACTTACTTGTAATAAAGGCAGTTTTGCAGGACATGAAGTTCTTGCAGATGCTAGATTTTGAGAAGGCTTTTCTGCGGCCCCATTTCCAAATAGTAAGAAATAAAAATAGCACAGTTGCTATTGTTTGCTTTTAAGGTTAGTGACTTGTGACTGTAGAGGGATTGCCAGTTTAGGGAGCATCAATTTATCTTATGCTGACTTAATGTCTTAGAGCTCAGAAAACTCAGAAATACCTTTCTGTGTAAAGAAAAAGTTTATCTGCTTTAAGCATGAATTAAGACCAAAATAAGAACAAACGTACTGCTGTAGAAATGACTGTCATAATCAACTCAAATAATCAACCATCTCGGAAAGATTTTGGACTGCTGAGTTGGAAATGACATGACACTTGAAATAGGGCATGCTATTCCTCATGGCTCTGTTAGATTAGTGGATCAGTGTCTGTGGTAACAGGCAGTCCTTAACATGTCTTACTTACGGCAGTTATGGCAGATCACCAGCATGGAAGAGGATATTGTGTCTGCACTCAGCAGGTACACTTTTTTTTCTTGCCATCATTCCTTAAATACAGTATAGCCACTATTTATTTGCATGGCATTTGCATTTTTTTAGTGAGCTACAGATGACTTGGGCTATACAGGAGGATGAGGGCAGCTTATTTGTAGATATTATGTTGCCCTTTTATATAACAGATGCATTCACCTAAGCATTTCAATACAATCAGATCTGGAAGCAATTCCTGATAGATACTGTAGTCCGTGACTATAGTTACTTGTTATTCAGTATGAAACACAGGTTTCTGCCTAGAATTGTGTATGTGTTCAATCATGTATACCTCTGTTTCTCTCTAAAGGCTGAGTCCATCACCTGTGCTGTGCTCTGTGTGCTTCTCCTGTCTCCCCCTTCCAAGTGCTTTGATCACAGCCATGCACCACCATGCCTGGAAGACTCGGTTCACTTCACTTGCTACTGATCTTTGAGACAGGTCTCTATTCAGTCCAGGCTGACTGGCCTGCAACTTGCAGGCCTGCTTCTCCTTTGATTTTCTCTTTGCTAATTCCTGGGGTCAGTTCTCAGATCACATTTTCTTTTACCCATCAGAAACATTTGAAACCATTTTTCATTTCCTCATTTTCACTTCCAGTTTTCTTCCTATGTCATAGTGTGGTCTTCTAGATCTCTTTACTAATCCCTCCTCCATTTTAGGCCTTGCTGCAGACTCAGGCTCACTCTCTGTCCATGTTCTCTTTAGTCGGCCTTGCTCAGTCTGTTTTCACTAAGCACAGTCCCCACTGAGGACTGCTAGGGGCTTTCTCTGGATTGAACTGCTTTTCCACCTAGAAATTGGATAGAAACTTCAAGTTTAATACATTGAGAACCATCCTCATCATATCTATTTCCCATAACTTACAACTGCTCCTTCCTTTAGCAATTAAACAGCAGTTTAGCAGTTCTAGGCCAAAAATCTTAAAGCCATTTGCATGGTTTGACTTCTCTTAAAAGCAGACTGGGACGAAAATTGGAGATCTGTAAGTTTAAGGAGCAGTCTTTGGCTCAGCATCCATTGAAGCAAGACAAGGTTGGAGGAGCATGTTAGGCTGTAGTGCAGTCTTCAGAAAGGCCTGGACTCACAGCTACCATGGTTCCTTGTGACTACAAGAGGGCACTGGGAAGTGAGCAGAGTGGAATCCAAGGACTGACCTTGGAGAACTGCTGTGCTTATACCACCTCAACCAGTCATTTCAGGTACAGGCTCCTCTGGGTAGAGGGCATGACTTTGATTTTGGTCTTAAATGGTCAGAGCTATAGCTGCTCAGTGAGCACAGCCCTGTATGAGAATCCTTCAACCCTAAGGAGGGATCTGGACATCGCAAAACTGGTCCTCTGCATCATTTATAATTCCTCTTTGTTTTTGTTTTTGTCACATCCAATATTAGTCCATCAAGCAAACATTTGCTCTCAAAATACATGAAAAATCTCTGTTTTTTACCTCAGCTCCTGCCTTCACTTATGTCCCAGTGCCTTGGTAGTTTACAGTCATGTTCTTTAACCACGCTTGCTCATTTCTACTCTTCAAACTCAAACTATTCCTTCCAGAACAAAGCCAAATGATATTACTCTCATTCTCATTCCACTTAGAATAAAACCCTCTTCCCAGCACTAACCAGGCCTTTCACAGTCGGGTCCCATTGCTTGCTAAGACTCCTAGCTTCCTACTTCCTTCTCTCTAAGCACCAGGGCCGTTCTCCACTCAGTGCCCCAGCCTCTCTTGGCTTCCCTGTCTCTTACATTGCGTGCTCTTCTTTCCCTCTCAGCCAGGACAGAAGGCAGACAGATACATACCTGCCACATCAGTACAAGTGACATACTTGATCAAGGCTATCCAGTGAGCAAAGCACTTGGGTGCTCAGGGAAAACGATGACAGTGTGCTGATCTCTGCCCTTCAGTTCTATCTCAGTAGAGAAAAAGTAATGCATTGTGAAGTTGAAAACATTGTTAATGTTTCTTTACATTCATCTTGGTTAGAGTTTCATGAAAGAAACATTGTGTAGTGCATTCCCCTGCAATTTCAAGTTGATTTCTAATAAAAACTGTAGCCGTATGAGGGGATTGAGGTCATGCTACCTCGTGCATGGAACTAATTATTTCTTGCTCTTTCTTTCCCATGCAGAGCTTTTCGTCCTACTATAAAGGAGGATTTGAGCAAAAAATGAGTAGGCGAGAAGCTAGTCTTATTTTAGGTGTAAGGTAAGTGCTGCATAAGTATTTTTTGTTTTGTGGCCAAGATTGTCTTAAAAAGTGGGGGGAGGGTTACAATAAGTGTGTACTTATATTTAGTATTTAAAAATAAAATCCAGAAGAGGACATAGCACATTTTTGCCTTTTAAAAGTTGAGATCTGGATTAATTGAAGTTATATATGCTCTTTGCTCTTAAACAAGGATTCTTAGATTCCAAGTCCTCTCATCTTAAGATCCTCCACTGTGATACTCATTTCTCTCTGGACCAGCTTTGAAATTTGATGAATGTCTTTAATTATAATTCATATTTATTTCACTATCCTTTTCTACTTCTGCAGTTTGATATAGAGCATGTATTATTTTACTTATTCCATTTTGCTATTCATTGACTAATATTAGACATATAGGAAAAGAGCTAATGAAATTGTGTGGTTATCATTAGCATTAATTCCAAGACTGTTTCTTTCTATCGTTGATTTACTAGAATCTGTTTTCATTTTTTTTTATTGTTCCTTAGAGCATATTCTCAAGGGTTTTTTTGTTGTTGTTGTTATTGTTGTCTGGTTTGGGTTTTTGTAGTGCTGGGAATTAAACCTAAGGTCCTGAATATGCTTGCTAGGCATTCTACCACTAAACAATGTCCCTAGCTGTTAGAGTTTCTATAAACTATGTAACCTAGGCTGGCCTTGAACTCATGATCTTCCACATTCCAAATTCCAGGGTAAGAGTTGTCCTCTAAACACAGAATTGGTTATAGTGTATCATCCACTGTACATAGAGAGTTAGTTACAATGTATCTTCCACAGCACAGAGAATTGGTTCAGTGTACCATCCACTCAAAGCACACAGAGATTTGGTTGAAGTATATCATCTACTGTACACAGAGTTGGTTATAGTATATCATCTAATCTACTGTATGCAGAGCATCGGTCAGAGTATATCATCTACTGCACACAGGGAGTTGGTTACAGTATATCATCTACTGCAGATTTCCTGGTGACTTAATCAGTGTGATTAAGCAGAAGAGTTAAAGTGCTGTAGTGACAAAAAAAAAAAACGTTATAGACAAAATCTTTAAGCTCCAACATTTTTTTTATGACCTGCTTTAAAAAGATAAATAAAAAGTCAGTGGGCTATCTAGGTGGTTTAGCCAGTAAAGATGTCTACCACCAAGCCAGATGACCTTAGTGTAATGCAGTCCAACTGGGCCTGGATTCACATGAACTTACTCCCAAAAGTTGTTCCCTAACCTCTACATGCATACTGTGGTGTACACACACACACACACACACACACACACACACACACTGGGGGGAAGGATGCACGGATACTATTAAATAGTACAATAATAAAATAATAAGTTTTAGAGACTGGAGCTTATTTTAGCTTAGAGCTTTGTATAAATCTAAGAGATGGGAGTTTTCCTTGTCATAGAAAGTAGTGGATAGCATTAGGCAACGAGACCATGTCAGTTAGATAACTATTTCCTTGCTTAGTATTACTCAGGTAGCATTATTTTCCCTAAACTTATTTATTGGCTCTGTTTACTACAGGCACCAGAATGTCACTCAGTTCCATGCACCTGGTTTGTCCCACCCACTCTACCCTCCCTTCCCCACCCAGTCAAACATATTTCAGGGAACAGTTTGAAATTTGTGGTCTGGGCAACAAAAAAAATCATTAAAATGTAGCAAGGATTTAGAGTTTTAATATAGCAAAACCAAAAAGGTAATAAACTCTGCATGTAAATGAGAATTCCCCCCTCATCTTCAAAACTTACCACTAAGATAAGGCAGTGGTTTGAAATTGCCACGTTTGTGTATGTGAACTTTTCTTCCATCTGTTTTCACTTTAATCTAGTTTGATGGGTGGCAGACCTTGATTACACAATACTTCAGGTTTTGTGTAGAACAAAGTCACTTTTTAAAATGTAGTCAATGTGATTGATTTTCAAGGATATTGTAACTGAAGTGACTTTGAGACTTTGTTTCATGTGTTCAATTAAAACTTCATATTCAGAATAAGAGCCAACACACTGTGTTTCTTCAAATATATACAACAGAGATTTGTGTTTTTCTAAATTGATATCTATTATTTAGTGACTAGCTTACTGAAGTGCAGTTTTGTGAAACTTTATATGTTTCTAATTTTTATAATAGTCTTTTATAACGTCAATGTTTACTAGGCTGGAGCATTTGTTCTTCCAAGGAATTTACTTTTTGTCATTGTTGTTCTGGGTTTGGGGTTTTTTATGTTTTGTTGTTGTTACTGTTTTTTGTGGCAGTACTGTAAAATCCATCAAGCAAACGTTGCATGTTCAGTCTTAAAATGCAGGTTGTGGACTGTGCCTCTAAGTCATTTATATGTACGTCAGGCATCCAGAACGAGACTACACAAGTAGTGTAGAGGTGCTGGAGAGCCCCTCAAACAGAAAGGATCAGGGTACGTAAGCACAGGAAGAGGAATTGTGCTGGTTTTCAGAGTGATGTGGTTTTCATTTCTTTCTCTTTTTTGGGTTTTTTGGGTTTTTTTTGTTGTTTTTTTTTTTTGGTTTTTGGTTTTTGGTTTTTGGTTTTTGGTTTTTTTTCGAGACAGGGTTTCTCTGTGGCTTTGGAGGCTGTCCTGGAACTAGTTCTTGTAGACCAGGCTGATCTCGAACTCACAGAGATCCGCCTGCCTCTGCCTCCTGAGTGCTGGGATTAAAGGCATGCACCACCACCACCCGGCAGGTTTTCATTTCTTAAGCAGTTAAATAAAATCATGTCCTTAGCTCTTGTGAATATCTGATTCTTTGAAATAAAACCATATCTATTTGAGAGTTACCTAAAAGTTTAGTTTAAAAATATCCCCCATAAGAATTCTGCAAACAACCAAAAGAAGTATTCTCGGGTCCTTGCATAAAGGAATTTGTTTATTTATGGAAGAATGGTTTGCATGTTTATTTAGGCTGTAATAGTTCTTTTTTCACAGGGGAGCTTGTCCTTTGAGACAGTCTTGTTACATGGCTTTTTGAGTTAAAGATCTTTGTGTGTCAGCCTCCTGAATGCTGAAAGTATAGGCATGTGTCACTATTCCAGCCCCTTAACAGGATGTATTAACATATGTGGCAATATGTTACCTGTAAGAGGTCAGTGGTAGAAATTGGAACACTAACAGAATCGAGGATTGACACTGGTAGCAAGGGGCTGTGTTGTTCAAAGAGAAGGAGAGTCTTAAGCAGCATTCTGGGCCCTTCAGAAGGGTCAGCCAACTTCTGTGGACTCTCTGGGTTCCATTTAGTTCATTCTCAGGATAAGGCTTCAGAGTCGTTCAAGAAATGTTACATTGTATTTTTATAAGCATCCTTCCTTCACCCTTTAAAGTAATCCTTGAAGATAGGTTTTATTGTATGTATGTTACATATGAGAAAATGGTAACTCAGAGAGTTGAAATGGGCAAGGCACATTCATAGCTGAAGAGCAGTAGAATTAGTATTTTTGAACTTAGACATGGCTAACTAAAATTGCATGCTTCCTACTAACACTCAGTTCATCCATTTTGATTCATTTGAGCTTCACAGCTACCCTCATACTTTAAGCTGGCTGTAAATTTACTCATTTGAAGCCTGGTAAAGTTAAGTCACTAAATACAATAGCTGTTAGGTACAGGAGCTTCTACTGTTGGCGCTCAGAAAATGTACTAAACACTTGCAATAATGAATAGGTCAGTTTGTCATAGTAATTTTATGTTTCACTGTCTTCTCTAATTTTCCCTCACACTGTAGGCTGTACTGCCAAACTTTCCCACAGGTTTCTTACACAGCTAGACCATGGACTGTATGGAGTTTTGAGATTGCTTGTTGAGGAACTAACAGAAGGCAGCTGTTCTGGAACACACACGTCATGCCGGGCTAGCACTTGGCAGCATCCTGGCTCTGTGGGGATGTGGTCACTCTGCAGTGAGGAAACTGAGCAAAAAGTTCAGACCTTGACCAACATCACCCAGTACCCCAGCAAAAACTAACAGGCTAGTTCTGAAACATAGATACCTTGATGACATGTCACCTTCCTCCAAAATGACTTTAGAAGCATTAGGTTTCAGTCCTTCTAGTGTTCGTACTGTAACTCTGCTGGCCTGTGTATGTGAGGTGCTGTTGTTTGTGGTGGTGGTGTGTTATTTTTGGTGCTGGGCACTAAACCTAGGGTCTCATGGTTGCTAGATAAGGATTATATGATGAAGCTAAATATCCAACCTGTTTATTTATTTACTTTTTAAAAACTGGGAATGAGGATAAATATTACAAAGTGCTGAAGGAAAATACAGTATTGAATAATCATGATTTATTTTAATAGTTAGAATTAAGCGTAAATCTTGTAATTTTGTACTTGTCCACAAGATGGTGAAATTTTCATTAGTTTTTTAATTTCTTGAAACCCATATAAATCATTAATTTATTATCTGCATTTTACACTATTTGTTAATTTTTTACAGCCCATCTGCTGGCAAGGCCAAGATTAGAACAGCACACAAGAGAATTATGATTTTGAACCATCCAGACAAAGGTAGGTAGTGACTCCATTTTCATGGTCAGATATGCTATGGGTTCCTTTCATTAAGTTTACTCAAACTCAGATAAGTAATGCATAGCTGATGGGGAGTTACATGTCACGTGTGTTGAGATTTTCCTCATAAACAAGTAGGCTTGTGGTTCAGAGTTGAGTGACTCCATGGAAATAGTGGATTTGAACTGTTAACTTTGAAGAACTTCGTTGCTGGCTTTAGGGATGAGCTATGGGGCTGTAGGGTGGAATAAACTGATTTGTGTATCGTCTATTATATCTACTAAATCTTGCAGATAAAAGTATAAGATTTAGGGATTTCTTCTACATCTCTACACCTAGTCATAGGTGGTTATAAATTTTAAATTTTTGTTTAAGAAAGCTCTGTGGCTGAGCTATTTATTTCTCACTGGCCAGGTTTTTAATGTAAATTTATCTTACAGAAAGACAATTATTATAACTTTAACTACACTACAGCTGCTTGATAGAGAAAGCCCCATATGTTCATTACTGTTTCTCCTTTAAAATAACAGATGGTAGGAAGTTGCACTGTATTTCAGAAGTCAAAGGGGGGCAGGAAAGTGAAGGATTTCTTAGATTCTTATTTATAGACTTTTCAGTTTTGTAATTATTTTAGAAAAAATTAAAAACAAATTTTGGATTCCTGTTCATTTTACCACCAAAATAAAGCATTCTTTTTCAGCTTTCTCAACTTAATTACTTACTATAAAAGTTCTTTTCAATGAACATTATCATCATTGGTTTTGTACTTGCTGTTCTTGAATGTGAATAAACAAGAGAATAAACTTTGAAAAGAGGTTTTGCTTAAAATTTTTAAAGAGCTTCAGCAGTTACTGGAAGATCCACTCAACTAATTTGCTCTTTATTGTGTGCTTTCAGAGCAATTGACTGAGCAAGAAATGTGTTTAAGTGCCTCCTTGAAGTCCTTTTTCTCCTAAATGTCCTCTGCCCCCTCTGGGTCAAGTGTATGCTCTTGACTCTGATTGACTGCTATAGTATTAAGCACTCCTGTCTGTCAGATGATTGGCAAGTTGTTGGTCATTTCTCCCGTAAGGGAAGCAAGTTCTAAATAATGTATCCAAGAGAGTATGTTGCTTTGCATAAAAATTAAAATGTTTGTATATGTTAGGATCTGGTAATACCCAAAATAATGACTTGATTTCAATCAGACCTTTGATGGCAGTTTGCTTACCAGTACCTTCCCTTCTGGTTTTGTGTGAGAACTAAGTGAGAAAGGGTGAGGCATGCAGGCAGGAAGCTAGTATTGTCTGCTAGCATTGTAGCCTTAACATTTCCCTCATTTCTACAGATTTTAGTTTTTATCATATAAAAAACAAAGGGATTTATTCTAAAGTCCTTTTGGTTTATGGAACATTTTATATCTATGAAGGAAGGAACTATTTTCAGTATTTCTCTTCAGATCACACGTTTAAGAAAGATCTCCGGTTTTTTGTTTTTGTTTTTGTTTTTCAGATTTGTACCCTTTAAAGGTGTATTGGCACTGTAGGCTATTCCCCCCCACCCCAATTGCTCATTTGTTCAGTTTAAAACATCTGGAGTGTCCTAAGCTCATGGGCTTCCTAAATCCTATCCATGTAGCAGCTGTTATGGTTGGTGTTAATTGTCAAAGGGGGACAGACCTATAGCCATGCCTGTGGGAATGATCTTGATCACATTCACTGAGGTGGGAAGACCCACCCACTGTGGACAACACCATTCCAGAGCAAAGAATTTTGAGCTGTATAAGATAAAGCCCAGAACTATGGTTGAGCACTAACTATCATTGTTGTCTTCTTCTGTGTGTCCTGTGTGACCAATTACTTCCATACCCTTCTGCCCTGACCTCTCTGCCACTACAGATCTTGAACTGTGAGATTAACCCTTTTTTCCCTTTAGCTGCCTTTGTCTGAGTCTTTTATCACTGTAATAAGAAAATGAAGTAAGTCACATTTTGGAAGAAATAGAAATACAAGCTATAACTTCTTACACACTTCCTTATCAGGTTGTGCAAAGAAAATAACTTCAGAAAGTGAGTGTGGGAAAATGGGTGAAAATAATGTTTTTGTAACTATCTTGAAATGAGCATTCAGGTGTGTTTCAATAAAAAGGAAATTTAGTGAGCTAGATTAATACAGTAAAACCTATCTCTGGTCTTTGATCTGATGGTTTAAGGCTTATGTCTCAGTTTGTCAAAATTTTTAATTGCTGAAGAAAGGGGTTATTTGGTAAAAAGTCAGTAGTTTGGTAGAATGCCTGATGAACATCCAAGAGCCAGCTGAGGCAAATTTGAAAATTGTAGGCTACAGGGTTTCCTTGCTCTCTTCTTTTGGAAGTAGGATTTCCTATATCCCAGCCTCCCTCTGGCCCCAAACTGGCATAGCAGAGGGTGACCTTGTACTTTGATCCTCCTACTCCACCTGGTTATTGAGGTGCTGGGGATCCACACCAGGACTTCTGTATGCTAGAAAACACTTCACTAGTTGAGGCACGTCTCCGGCCCGATTTCTTACAGGCTGTCTAGATGGTGTTTCTTAATAATGTTTTCCTGTATGTAAGAAATTAAAAACGTGTGTGTATGATATTTATGTATGTTATGTCTTACCAAAGCATTTGTCAGTCATTAGCTTTTTCAAATAACCAAATCTTGGTTGGTTTGGCGCATTGTCCTTCCAGTCTTTGTTTCCTTGATGTCTTTCCTAATCTACTACTCCTTGCCATCTAATGGGTTTGGGGCTGGCTGGCTGTTGAGGTTCATAATTGGGTTGTTTATTTGAGATTCTGAGAATGTTAAAAATGTGTTTTTTAGGGTGCTTATACATGTGAACTCACATCTCTCAAATTTTTAATGTGAGCACTTACAGCTTTAACCTTGCCTCAATTGCCCTGGCTGTATGGCAGAGGTTCTTACTTGTCTCTAGGGATTTTTTTAAATGCGTCTGATTTCTTTTTCTTGAATGAGCAACTGTTCATTTAAAAAAAAAAAAATGTATCGTTTGGCTTCTATAGTTTTTTTTTGTTTGTTTGTTTTTTGTTTTTTGTTTTTTTTTTTTGACTTTCCAAACAGATAGGGTTTCTCTATGTAACAGTCCTAGCTGTCCTGGAACTCACTTCGTAGACCAGGCTGTCCTTGAGCTCACTGAGATCCACCACTTCTGTCTCCCATTGCTGGGATTAAAGGCATGCACCACCATGGCCCATGTAAATGTGAGAGTGAGGTTTTCTAATACTGTGTCAGGATGTATGTGGCCTTTGATGCCTTTTAGTGTTTGTCTTGTGAAATAGAAGCTCCAGTATTTGTTGCATAAATGTTTACAGTTATATCTGGATGAATGCTTCCCTTTTTAAACACGTAATGTCCCCTTTATCTCTTGTGATTAGTTTACTTTATCTGATATACAGATAGCTAAGCCTGCTTCATTTGATTTCTAGTTGCTGGAAGCTTGTTTTATCCTTTGCTGTTGAGTTTTGAGGTATTTTTGCCGGCTAAGTGTATTTCTTGGAGACAACATATGTTTGGTTCTTGTTTTTCAATCTGGTCCATTTGTCTGTGTCTTTTTAATGTGATTGAGGCCATTTACATTTAAGATTATTATAGAAAGGGGTCTGATCGTACCTGTCAGTTTGCTACGTGATGTTTTGTTTTGCTAGACTATTGGTATTTCTTTTCCCTCTCCCATATTAGTTCTAAGGGTTTGCTGCATTGCTGAGTTTCTTTCCCAGGTCTACTATGTTCTTCAGATACTTCATGGAGGGTAAGCTTTCATGTATTTTCCTAAGGGGGCACTCTTTCTTCTTCCTCCCTGTAAAGTAGTCCATTAAGAATTTCCTTCAGTGCTGGTTCCATTGTCATGAATTGGCTTAGTTTATATTGTCTTAAAATATCCTTATTGCTCCATCAGTTTTTGAAAGATACTTTTTTGGGGTATAGCACTCTTGGTCCCGGTTATTTAATCTCCAAGTTTGACATTTCATTCCAAGCTTCTAGCTTTTATTGTTGTTGATGGAAAGTCTGTGGTGATACTGATTTTCCACCTTTGCATGGGAGTCAGTATCTTTCTCATGCTGCTTTTAGGATTTTTTTTTCTTTGTATTTTTGACATACTGACTATGATGTGTCATAGAGAGTTTCCTTCCTCATGTCTGTTGAGAGCTCTGTAGACCTCTTGTGTTTGGATGTCTGCTTTTTTTCCCTTGAAGTCTGGAGAGTTTTTTCTGCTATAATTTCATTAAGTAATCCTTCTATTACATTTAATTTTACCTCTGTTCTTCTATACCATAAATTCTCAAGGTCAGAGTAGGGGTAAGGGTGAGAAGTGCTGACAGAAGCCAATAGTCTGTAACGGGTATTAGCCTGGTGAGAGAGCTGGCAGCCAGAGTCCACTTTGATATGTTAAATAGGCACCTATATTAGGAACCTCTAAAGAGGCAGTGCACTCGGTGCCCTCAGGAGACAGAGGATCTCGGTGTTTGAGGCCAGCCTGGTCTAAGAGCAAGTTACACAGAGAAAGCCCCCTGTCTTGAAAAACCAAAAAAAAAAAAAAAACAAGTAATATACATATATAGTGTGTGTGTATATATATATATATATGGCGCGCTTGTGTGTGTGTGTGTGTATGTTGTTTGTGCCAGGATTCTTTGAGATCTAGCAATCATCTCATTCATTTCAAATATTTCTGTTTTTTTCCTTTTTCTTGTTTCAATCTCTGCTAATTTTTCCCCGCTGTATTTTGGACTTTCACTTCTAATTTATTGTTTCGTTCACTTTGGAGACCATTGTCAAGGTCTTGGATAAATTTCCTTAATTTGTTCGTCTGTTTGTTCTTCCGTATGATTGTTAATCTTTTAGAAAGTAAAATTTTGGATTTTTTTCTTAGGCATTTACACTATATCTTTAGTTTCCAGGTCCTTCATAGGGGAATTGATTAGTTGGGACTAGGCATGATGGTTGTGATGGTGTGTCACATTCCTGGTGCTCTTTTTTT